AATTTTTTGGGAAATAAAAAAAATGACTTGCAAGAGTTTGCGTTAATTCTTTACTGCTTTTGCAGTAGGCGGATTTAAATTTTTATGGCTTCTTTTGATGAAATCATTTTACAACGTTTTATCTTTGTATTTTTTTTTGTATTCGATCTATATATCTGTATTTTGATTGATAATTAATTGTATTATTTTCTGTTTTGTTATTCGATATTTTTACTTGGTATTTGTATCTTATCCTATTTATCTTTTTCCGCTTAACCGTTTATATTGTAAGGATTTGATGAGACGGAACTTTTTGGTCCGACTCGCAAGTCTTTGCGTGCAAGAAATGGAGAATTTACGGACCTTCGAAACGGAGGGTTCACAGCCGTAATGTAGCCTAGTAGTCGCACTGCGGGAAGATGTGGCTTTCATTCCTATGAATTCAGGTTATGTTAGAAAAGTCACCCAGGGTTCATAGGGAGGCATGAGTACCGGGTGGTAAGATTTTTCGTAAAGTTACAGATGAACGGTTATGGTAGTGAACTTCATTCATTTCCTGCACATTGTTATATATTCCTATTTTTTCTTGACCTTTCGATGTCGTCATTTGATTTCCCAAAAATCACAATAATTGCTAATTGGATATTTAATTGGGGTTCGCAAATTATTTTTTATTTTGCTTAGCCATTTATCCACAGCATACAAACATTTCAATTATTTTTAAATTAACGTTAATTTAATTTCAAGAAAAAAAATTTTATCTTTTTATTTAAGCCAAAATAAACAGAACAATAATAAATCAACAGCTTTACAATTGTACTTTTTTCATTTCGTATTAATATGAAGAGAAAATGTTCCATTATTATAATTATCATTTCATCAATACACAAATAATGATTTAGAAGCCCTTCCGGCACCGTGAGCAAAATATTGAGTTAAGCATTATTGTAAGTTGTCAAACAAACCATAAATTCAACGATTAAGATAGAAATAACTTTTCAAACAGTGTCAATATTCATTTAAATTTTATAAAA